TATATATTTCTTTCTCTCTATAAGGAACGATTCTTTCGATAGCATGGTTAATTGCATGTCAAAGTAGATGATTCTGATGAATGTCCTTCTTCGACATCCATGTTCAGCACATCATTTGTTCTGAAGAATGAGCAGAAGAAGAACATTCATTAGAAGACTGCATGGTAGATCAAAAATCTCTTTCGTACTACATTTTGAATTGGGAACGTTGCTGGACATCCTTCCAGACGGCTACAGCATTCTCGATATCATATACGTATTTGGACAAGAAGGTGTTGGACGAGCTGAATTTGAGTTGCCACAGTTTGTATTGGTTGATGTGAAAAACACAAATATAACACAAAAGCTCAGTTCAGGTTTGTATGTTTCTTGTATCTAGCTGTTCTCACTTGTCGTAGAGTCATCTGACATCCATACCTCATACATTCTATTACAGGTGAATACTCGCGTCTTGTGAGCTATTTCTTTTTCAAGCGAAACATTGGCTTCTATCTCATTCAAATATATCTGCCATCCATTCTTATCGTTGTCATATCATGGGTATGCTTATATACTTGTTTGAAATGGTCACATACATATTCATGTTAAGGTTTCATTCTGGCTATCGCGCGATGCAACTCCAGCTCGTGTAGCTCTAGGAGTGACAACAGTGCTGACAATGACAACTCTAATGACAACAACAAATGTAATTATTATATTTTCATTTTCATTCATTTCTCCTCATCTATTGGAATGTAGTGAGAGTGTATAACGAAAGTCATTTTTCATTTTCAGTCATCGATGCCAAAGGTTTCGTACGTCAAGAGCATTGACATCTTTTTAGGTAAGCAATCATTTTTAAACTCTGATCGAAACAATTGAAACGTGGGTGGACGTGATTCTGGTTAGAGATAGATTGATATAATTCGAAAGCAATTTGCCATGCTTTTCTTGATTAATTCATTCTTATCTCTCACATTTAGTTGTGGCAAATTGCTTCTGAAGACTCATCGTCATCGTTGTTGGCGTGACAGCCGTTGCGCAACGAAGATGTGTGTCTTCTCTAAGCTCTCTCCTAGCTTCAAACTGTTTCCAATAATCTTCATTAAGAAGAAAATTGAAATGATTGTAATGTTTGGTGTTATATTTCTATTGAAACATACAAGATGTTGTGAATCATTTGCTTCCTTCAATCATAATCAGTGTGTGCTAGCTGTCTCTCAGATCATCATCCCATCCATTTGGGTTGTGAGTTACCGTATGAGTGAGATCGAGAGAAATGAATGAAGAGGGGATGTATACATATGAGAAGAGCATTACGTTTGTGTGAGCTTGTGCTCCTCTTCTTATTCTGTTTTTATGAAGTGTTAAAAAAAGATTTTTAATGGCTGACACATAAAACAACTTTTTTTATTTTCTTTCGTCGTCGAAAAGCAAAATTGACGAACTTGTGTATCGTTGAAAGCAATTAATCCAATTGGGTGCCAGCTCCTAGACAACTGTTGTTTGATAAGAGAAGATAAGATCATTACGTAATTGAGGAAAAAAGATGGATGAAAAGAAAAAAAAAGTAGAAGAAGAAGATGATTTGAACAATGAAAAGGGAAATTATAATTGTATTTGAAGGTGTTTGCTTTATGATGGTCTTCTGTACTCTTCTGGAGTATGCTGCTGTCGGCTATATCTCAAAACGAATGAAATTGGTGGAGAGTCGAAAGAACTCAAGGCACTCTCTTTCTATATATAGAAATAATTTTTTCTATTATACTATAGAGCTCCATTGCTGGGTAATAGCTCAGATGATGAAGAAGCTAACTTGGGACGCTCATCTCAATCATTCTTCAATATTGGCTATCGTCCATTCTATTCGTCAACAGATCAATCGAGTCATTTGTTTCTTCCGGAACATCAAAGACAGCTAGTGGTATTCGTTCAATCTATTTTTTTCTTATTTAAAAATAATATTCAAGGATAGTGACTGCTTGTGTGTTCTGCCACGAAACGAAATGAACTCAGCCAGGGAATCCAGGTGCATACCAGACAGATGCTAGCTCATCTGATATACTAACAATCAACGGTTTAAGAGTCTCGTTTCTGGCAGTAGAATCAATGAGAAGTAACTCCAGATGGTATATGTCATTCATAGAATGCATTCGACCATCAAGCATTGATAAGTACTCACGTTCCATCTTCCCAACAGTCAGTTCAAACAACCTGCAAGCCTTTGCCTACAACATGAGCTTCTTCAGATCTTTGTGGTTTTTAATGTGATTTATTGGAGTTATTATATCCGAATAAGTCAAGATGATGATCTTTTGAATATCGAAGAAGGACCTTGAACTTGCAATTTGATCTCAGCTACTCTGAAATATCTTTTCTAATTTTCATCATTTTCTTCATTTTATTATTTTTTTTTTCGCGCTCAAAATAAAATGAGACCAAATTGATAAACGAAAACTCTTCTATTCGTTTTCATTCTATTCATCAAAGACCTGGTGTGCTTCCTTTTCATCTTAAAGGAGAAAACATATATGATGCTGACAATGAGAAGACAGCTTCATCATTTAAGCTTTTACTATATTACAGATGGATATACAACAGCTGACATTGATTACTTCTGGGGACACAAGAAGAGTGATGACCAAAAGAAAGCTGTAGCTTTTGATAAGTTCATGTTACCCCAATTCAGACATAGTGGTTATAGTGTTAACATTACGAAAGCTGTCACTTCCTCAGGTATACAATCCAATCAACTCATCTCCTAACCATTCCCCTTGTTACAGGAGAGTATGTTCGACTTTATTTTGAAGTTTTATTAGTTCGCAATATGGGTTTTTATTCAATGAATATTGTTGTTCCATCTATGCTTATCGTCACTATATCATGGGTGAGTCTATGCGATATGCTAATTACCCTTCACGTAATTCACGTCTCCCACGTTAACGTGAACTTCATTACTTCTACTTGTGTGCGCAAGTGAACTGGTTGTGCTCAAAATCATCTCTTATCCACTTATCTAACTAACTTTTCCTATTTAAGGTATCATTTTGGCTCAATCGAGAAGCTTCTCCTGCTCGTGTTAGTCTCGGAGTAACGACTGTGCTTACGATGACTACTTTGATTACAACAACTAATAATTCGATGCCGAAAGTCAGTTATATCAAGGGATTGGATGTTTTCCTCAATTTCTGGTTGGTTTGATACAGCATTGCAAGTGTCTAACCTTTGAACTTGTAGTTTCGTCATGGTTTTTGCCTCACTTGTTGAATATGCTGTTGTATCGTATATGAACAAACGAATAGTGTTAAGAAGAGAAAAGAGAAGAAAGCAGGTATATCATATGAGCTCAAGAGATGAGTCAATGAGATTCATGTGTTACAGGCTGAACAACAACAACGAAGTGAAGTTCCTATGTTTAGTAATAATCTATCTCCTAAACAACCCAATAATAATGTAAGTTCTTATAATCTCATAATACATTGGTTGCATCTAACGCTTACACTAACATCATCTTACAGTCTTATGAAATGGAAATGCTCTCACAGAATTCAACACCAGCTAAGAGTAACCACCATGTATGTCTTCCAATATTGTTTTAGCTTTAACTAATCATACTTGTCTATATCTCATTACAAGCTTATACTTATCATTACAGGCTGATCTCTACTTTGGCCAGAACAACACTTCAATGGTAAGCACTCTCCTCCTTATATGGCTTATGAATCAATTCTCTTTACAGTTCCAACATCAATTGATGGAAATACCAGTAGATTGTGATTGTAGGACGATACCATTAATACAGCATCCACGATTGGTAGCAGATAACGCTCATACCTTGTGGCCAGCACCATTTGCCAGACCTAAGAAGGTATATCATATGCTGCAAGTGATGTCATACTAACAATTCATGTTACAGGCTTCACGCACTTGTCGCAATGTTACTCCAGCCAAAATAGACAAGTGCAGTCGATATCTGTTTCCACTTTTGTTTTTCGGTTTCAACGGTATAGCTAATGCTAACTATATGTATCTGATTGTTTGATTTTCAGTTGGATATTGGACGATATTAACAGTGCTGAGCTCAGTATCAGAGAATATGAGCAAGGATGAATGGACGGCCATTGACATCGATGAATAGAAGAAATGCATTTGAAATCTCCTCTTTTTCACTTCACCATTCACAATATTTTCTTATTTCATTGAGAAAGATATCCTCCTCGTTCTGTTATTACTTCTTCAACCTCCCTTTCTTCCTGAATGTCTTTGAGAAACAAAAAAAGAAAAGTTTAGAGAAAAACCTGGTGCAACTCTTCCAACATTTCCATTCCATGAAAAGAATGAAAGAAAGAAAAGAAAGAAAGAAACGTGTGAATGCAAAATGAAAACAACAAGAAGCTTGGAAACGGATGATAGACATGGCCGTTCTGATGAGCGAAAACATATCTTCGCACCTCATATCGACTACGTCTTCACTCACTCATTCCTACCTTCCCCTCTCTCCCAACCTCTACTCCCTCACTCTCTCTATCTCTCTCACTCTCTCTCTCTTCCCCTCTCTCCCTCCGAGATTATTCTTTCTTCTTCTCTCTTTTCGGAAACAAAGAAACGTTGAAAGATCTTTTCTGTGAAAAGCTATAAGGAATTATAAAAAGAAAGAGGAAAAAGCAACAAATCAGTTTGAATCATAATCATATGCCTTGAGAGGCGTTTCCAAATCAATGAGTCTCATTGCCATGTCTTTTTCAGTTTTACAATTCTCTCAACTCCCTCTCTCCCTCTCTCTCTCCCTTCTTCCCTTATGGAAGAAAAAGAAACTGTTTCAATTATTGTTTGTTTTGCTCAATTCTCCCCCTCTCTCCTCTCGTATTCTCAAGCAACTTCAGTTACTTACATGTGTTCATCAATGGATAATGCTTCTGTTGAATCTCCCTTCCCTTCCCTCCCTTCCCCTCCCTCCCTCCCTTCTATGTGTAAATATTGGTTTTCTAATTCAAAATCCATCTATAGGTGTCAGATTTTCTATGATTTGTGGGTAAACATTTAAATATTACATTTGTGTTCTTCTTAATATCATTGATGTATATATTCTATTGTCTCAATGTTATGTTTGATGATGAAAATAAAAACTATTTTTAGATGCTTACACCACGGACACTATCTCTTATCAATGGTGTTCATCGTTTGATCCCAACTGTGCTAATGCTGTTCAGACGGGTCCCGTTGAATTGCCATCATACCGATTTTCGGATGTATGTGTCAATCGTACAATGGCAACAACATCTTCAGGTATGCAACACATGTTCACCAGACATGGTAATCATCTTTCTCTCTCACACTCATACACACTCTCTCTCTCTCTCTATTGCTCGTCTACAACATCTTCAACAGATAAACAACGTTAAATCATTTTCAGAAACGTTTATAACAAAAGATTTTAGTAAAGGTTCACTATCGCTTAAACTGGTCAAGTGTTTTGACTGCTTTTGCATATTTCTTGTCCTGTATAGCCTTCAGCCTACAGTCTCATCAGATTCACAGATGCATTTAACACTTCAGGTTCTTACTCACGATTATGGGTGATGTTCATATTCGATCGGGAGAGTGGTTTTTACATGTTACAAATATTTGTTCCTGCTGCTTTAGTAGTAGTGATCTCTTGGGTATAGCTTTATCTGTGATTGTGCAGTCTCTCATCTAACCCATCTTGTAGGTATCATTCTGGATCTCACGTGATTCCGCTCCTTCTAGGACAGTCATAGGTGTCATGACTGTCCTCACTGAAACTCACTTGATGACGGGAACGAATAGGTACGTTCTTCAATTGGGAACATGTTATCAGTCACACGCCTCCTCTTCAGAAGATTACCACCTGTTGCCTATGTCAAAGCTGTGGACGTTTACTTAGGTTTCTGCTATTTGTTAGTAGTTTTGGCTTTGATTGAATATGCCGGAGTCGCCTATTCAAAAGTTGTCCCTCATTTCAAAGTCATCTATCAAATTCACTATTTAAGAAAAAGAACGAAGATCGACGGCGAAGAGAGAAAAAGACAGAAGTCAAGCCAGCAGAGCCTACTCCTGATCTTTTGAATGGTTAGTGGAATGCAATCCAAACAGGAAAACATAGTATTCAGATGTTCGTCTTGCTGAATGCACGTGCAACACCGTAGGAACATCTATAATCGCAGTCGTAAAACATCCAAATCAACAGTTTTGTGTGAAACACAGCCATATTGACATCGCCAGTCGAATCATTTTCCCAGGCAGCGTTAGTCTCCAATTCAGAAGTTCAGCCTCTGTACTTAACATTTTCCAGTTTCTGATCTTCAACATCGTTTTTTGGGTTGTTTTGTTGGCGAAGGCGGACCGTCTGCCGTATTTTTCTGAAATGGAATCTGCTCATCGATGTCCAACAGATTTGGCTTTGAAAAACGCCTGAAAGAATTCCTTCAATATTTATTTCCCTTATATGTTATTACCTAGGTTTCCAAAAGACTTTCAAAAACCAAATTGCCGAAGCTCAATTGTCATATGCGTGTTAAGATATGATTGAAAATATTTTATTAACTTTGCATGCTAAAAAAGCTCAAGAAATTAAGAAACAAGAGATTAAGTCACGAGTTATTAGCTAAGTTATCATCGAATCGAGTGTCTTTCATGTACCCGACTATCCTAACATGGAGATAAGCTCAACACAAGATAGATAGAGAAAGTAAAAAGAAGAAGAAGAAGAAGAAGTTAAGGAAGTAGAGGAAAAATAAATATAAGAATATGTCACGTGAGAGAACCTTGAGGTGGATCATACCGGGAAAACAACGATAAGAAGAAGTATTAGAGAGGGAGAGAGAGAGAGAGAGAGGAAGAGAGGAGATAGCTCGAATACGGTTAAGAGTTAAATAATTTGTAAAGCACTTGAATGAAAAGATCTCTGTTGAAATACGTGTTTGAAAAACTTCGTCAAACAACCTTATGCTCATCTCCAGGCTGATGATCATACTCATAGTCTGTATGCACAAATGCTCTTTCGACCTAAAAAAAAGTATTTATTGAGATAATATTAGAAAGAATAGCTCACATCTGGCAGACTCTCGATGTTTATTTGAAGAGCTTCACTGATGTCATGAGCTACCTTGAGAGTCATATTTTCATCCAGAACAATATGAACTTCGACAAGGAATTTGGTACCATAATGGTACACATAGACAGTGTCAAGATGGGATATCCTTGGATCATGATCAATGCAAACCTGTAAACAACGATATAAAGAAGTCTGAAGCAGAAAAGGGTAAGAACCTTAATGATGCGATTGATGAACTCAGGTTCCGCACTCTTGCCACTCAATTTACTAAGATGTTCTTTGCCTGTTTTCACCCATGTGAGTAGAATATAACAAGAAACTACAATAGCACCAATAGGATCCAAATAATACCAGTATCTTGAAAACAAAACATATGTTTAGTCAAATAAAGAGAGGGAGAACCTTTTAGCAAGGAAAGCACATAGTAGCGCTATCGAGTTTGATAAGCAATCATTACGATGGTCCATGGCTAAAACTTCAATAGAAGGATCTGATTTGTATCTGAAAAACAGCTGATGACTATATAAACTAATAGAATATTTACTTCTGACAGACAAGGAACAGAATGCACTTGACTATTATTGTGAAAACCATAATTGCACAAGTTTCTAAGCTCATTTCCAAAGTAGGAGTTTCTCCTTCCCCTAAAACATATTTGGTTTGTGATCATTTACTGGTTAACTAATACCTTTGGACTGAAAGTGATAAGCCCTTACTATTCTCTGAATAGCATCATAAATAAGTTGACAACTAGCTACTCCCATAACTACACTAATGATCATCTGAAGATAATTGTTATGCATGTATGTATCCTAATCTTCTCCTACCAAAGCTAAAGGTTCAAGACGTGTCCGTCCTCGAGGATAGAGATAAGGATCCCGCTTACGAATCATCCGTGTTGACATTGAAATTACAAGTCCTTAATCATAATATTAGCTGAAATTGAAAATGTGTTTTTACCTGAAGTTATATCAACACATGAGTCAACTAAAGATGATATGATCGACAACGATCCGGATAAATAAGAAGCCAAAGCCTTAAATGAATCAGCATAAGACGGAGAAGATAGGAGTTCTCATACCTTTGCGAACATCAAAGACACATTCACGAGCAATGTTATTTTGGCTAATCTATCGGCTGCTTTGAAATGATCAGCAGCTTTCTCTTGTTGAGCTGAATGACGAGCTCTGAAAGTAAGTGATCAACTATGTCCATAATCTACTTTCAACTCACATCAATGAATCATGGGATCTTGATACTACCGACGATTTCTGAGCTACAGAAAGATTATGCACAGAAGGCTGAGATTCAATAACTTCCAGATCATCCTCACCCGGCTGAAAGAGACAACTTCATAACTATCCAGTAATGTATACGATTACCACATTCTTAAGAAGAGGTGCTTTGGAAGAATTGGTGTTGTTTCTTTCTTCCAAATCCAGGGGCTCTTCACTAGTTGACGATTGTAAACGTTGCCTCGTTCTAGTTTTCACAAACACCTGAAAGGTTCAGATGTACGCATTACATAGATCGCTGAGAACAAACCTGAATTTGTTCACTGTCATTCTTATAGTTTTCCAGAAGTTCGTTTTGCTTCTTGTAATAATCAGATACTACTTTCTTGGGTTTCTTAGCCTGCAAGAACGTAACGAGTTAAGACTGATCTAATTGTGCTTGGGGAAAACCTCATTCATGCCAGCAAGAAGAGCCCGTGACGAAGCTTCGACGTCATTCAGATTGCCAGTAGGGTTACCTGCCAATTGTTCTTCACCATTTTCCCTTCAAAAACAAATTTCAATAATATAGAGAGGTGGGTGAGTGTTAAACAGCAAGAGATATGTTGTGTGAAATCAGTTGTCATTTGTTTCTTGCGAAATAGAATTGAAAGTCATGTTCACGTGAAGAGAATGTGAAAGCAACTCATCATTTAAATAATGTTTCTGCTATAAACCGGTTGTATCAGCTGTTTCTTTTGAAAACAAAAACCAAAACACCGAGTTTCATCAACTTCTTTCAGATGATCCAATGTTTGGAAAGAACTCACTTTGCAGCTTCATCGTTATCCTCCATGTTTGACTCCGAACTTTCATTTAATAATTTACTTTCCTCTTCAGCAGACAGAAGACCGAAATGCGGTGAGAAACCTGCAATGCGATTGGATTAGTTTAAATGCAAAAAAACTCTCGAAGCGAACATGTTGGTTGTAAATCTGAATTTTGAACACTAGTTAGATCTTGTGATGACTGACCCTGCGGTTGATTATCCAACTCATTGGTTGATGAGGTCTTCATACCTGCAAAAAAAGAAAGAAAAGTTTAAAAATATTCCTCAGTTAAGACAAAATGAGAAGGATCGTTTGAAAGGATGGACTGACGACAAACAAATAAACGAAAAGAGCTTGTTAGTCTGGACTACAAACAGATTAAGGTTTTATATCGACATCTTTCAATTAAAGTTTCATTGTATATGAAGGAAGGTGTAAGGTGAACTGGAGAGGCGAAACACACAGAAGTATGACATCATGAGGAAATATTTTGATGAGAAAAAGTGCAAAATCATTGGAGGGTTGAAAAGGATTGAGGTTTCTGTGAAGTTTTGAAGTAAAAATCATAACTCCCCTCCCCCCCCTTTTCTAAACACATAGCTATATATGGTCACAGTTTTATATTTTTTGTTGCGAATCAGGAGATGTCCACAAAAGGATGGAGAGTGAGAGAGAGGCGGGTTCAATTAAAAGAGAGAAACGAGGGAATATTGTGGTATAAACCTGGTCATTGAAACACTTGAAAAAGGAAAGACGTCCATTTCATAGATCATTCATAGACCAAGGAAAACAAATGGAAAAGGGATATGAAGATCAAAATGGTTTTGCCAATAATGAGCTAAGAGTAGGTAAATAGAATGTTCTCAATGTAAAGTTCTATTCTCTGTTTTTATGTTCTCAAAGAAAATGTCTCAGAAAGACAGTGAGACAGAGAGAGTAGGTCATGATACTGGCCACAAGCAGAGTTCTGAGTTGTTTTTCTTTTTGAATTTTGGGCAGCAAGACAGGCATCGCTTACTCTCTATTCCTTAATCCTTTGCCAAAAAAAATGAAAATTTGTTTAAAAGAATGGCAAAAGACAATTATTTACATTTCGTATTTACAAAAATCTGAGTCATATCAATTGGGCCAAGTAGCTACATAGAGAGATTGGGTAAAGTGATGAGAAGAAGTTAAGGAGACGAAAAGGTGAAAACTAGTTTGATTGCCTACAGCAGAGGTCATAAAGGGCTGAACTGACAGTAATAGCAACACAATTTCTTCAACAAAGTCGTCAGTAAGCTTTCATTCAGTTTTTCTCTTCGTCTTCATGAAATTCTTTATTTTGAACTTCATAACTGATATCAACTCATAATTTATCTATAAAGTAACTAATGCCGTAAAATATGATTCGTGACTCCTTATCAGCATTCTCAACTGCCTCTTATGAATCGCACGTAACTCAATCTCCAAACCAAAATTCGTTCAAACATGATCAAAATTAACCAAACGCTCAAAAAAAACTCGATTGATGATGGCGTAACATAACACAATCGTTCATTTTACAAAAGAATATTATCACATGATAAACAAATCTCTCATTTACTATAGGATGACAGCTCGACTATTCGTCTTCCTTATTTGTCTTTTGGCATCCGTTTCTCAAGCTCTTTTCACGCAATCAGCCGGTGTTAAAGGAGTTCTCATGTGTGGAGATCGACCTTTGGCCGGAGCCAAGGTCAAGCTCTACGACGATGATAGTGGTAGACTTAATAAATTTATATTACAACACCGATGTGAGTGTTAAGGACCAGATCTTGATGATCTTCTTGCTGAAGGAACGACTGATTCTCTCGGACAATTTCTTCTCTTTGGATCAACTTCAGAAATCATGACAATCGATCCCAAGCTAAACATCTATCACGATTGTGACGACGGCATCACAGTAAGCGCACAACCATAATCATAGCTTATATGAGAAAGATAAAATGATTCGAGTTGCTAGAAGAAGAGAGAGAGCGGGACAATAGGAAGAGAAATGCTTATTAAACTAAAGTTTCATATTTCAGCCCTGCCAACGAAAGGTCTCTTTTTTCATTCCTAAAGACTTCGTCTCGTCTGGAGAACATCCCAAAACCTTCTTCAACGTTGGAACTGTGAACATGCAAATCCAGTTCAAATCCGAAGAAAGAGATTGCATACATCGTGTCTAAACAATGGATAATTCTTTATGTTTCTGGATATTAAGACTTGCCATGCCTGCTTATTCTCATGAAAATTGTACAAAATGTTTTAGCTACTCTTTTTCATTTCTCTCAATTGTATTCTATCAAATGCATACTTCAATTCATGCTCAAAAAACTTTTTTCTTTCTGATTTCATAGCAACGTTAAAGGAAAAGAGGAATTAAAGAAAAGCCAAAACTTCTTCTTCAGCACAACAATGAGAACATCAATGAGCAGCTGAGTCTGCGAGGAGCAAAGCCAATGTTTTCAAACTGAGGACACGTGAGATTCGATGAATGTACAGCGATATAGAGCAGAAAGAGGATGAAAAAAACAAGAATCCATATTAGCAGAAGATATGAGAAACAAAAAACATTGTTCGACCGGGAGCTCACTCATATAAACGAAAACGAATTTCAGTCATAAAAACAGCATTGAACGTCGGGTATCGCATGTCCATTACGATAGATGATCTTCATTACGGTGAGAAAATAATTATTCACCATGAATTAAAGTAATCAAAAAAAGGAAGAAAGGACATACAGTCACAAAATTCTTATCAGAACGATTATAACAAGGAGAGAAAAATAGTTTTGTCCGTTCATTGGTGGCCTACGCAATTGCGTACAATCACAACATTTTCAGTTCGACGATGTTCTTTTATTTAATATTTAAATGAATTTACGTGCTTATCTTACGAGCGAACATTATAAGCTATTTATTGAGACAATCTTACAACTCTAAAACTAAATTGAAACACTTTAAAGTAATGGCCACAAGAAGAATCGTAAGCGCTTGGCGACAATGTCGTTTACTGGAGAACAAGCTGAGTCAAGGCAAAGGTGCTTACACTAGCCGTTTCGCCTCGACCCATTTCGGTTTTCAACAAGTTGAAGAGACTGAGAAAGAGAAAAAAGGTTCGTTACTGTTATGATAATACTTTTATGAAAGTTATTTGAAGTTCATGAAGTGTTCGCCAATGTGGCTGAGAAATATGACTTAATGAATGATGCTATGTCGATGGGTGTTCATCGTCTTTGGAAAGATTATTATGTAGGCAGCTTACCTCTGAAGGCTGATTCAAATGTTGGTTCTTTGAATTTCGAATATAAATTGAGATGAACAAGAGTTGTTGAAAAATACTGAATTCTACAGGTTTTGGATGTTGCTGGTGGCACTGGAGATATTGCTTTCAGATTAAGCAGGAGAATCAACAGAGGAAATGTGACAGTATTTGACATCAATCAGAATATGTTAAATGTAGGAATGGAACGAGTGAAAAACGAGCCAAAGGTAAGATACTAATTTTTCTAATATTATGATGATTTATAAAAGGTTGAAGCATCTCGTCTTAGCTGGGTATGTGGAAATGCTGAGGCTCTTCCCTTTGAAGACAATAAATTCGACTTGTATACCATCTCATTTGGTATTAGAAATTGTACCCATGTTGATAAAGTATGTTTGTCTAATGAGTTTGTGATCAAGATGTTATTTTTCAGGTAATTTCCGAAGCTTTTCGTGTTTTGAAACCAGGGGGAATGTTTACTGTGCTCGAGTTCAGTGCTGTCTCTCCTTTACTGCGTCCTATATACGATGCCTATTCCTTCAATGTCATTCCAGGTAGTTATAGATTTCAAAGTTCAGTAGCTGCATTCACACATTTCAGTTATGGGTGAGGTGTTAGCCAGTGATTATCACAGTTACAAGTATTTAGTCGAAAGTATAAGGAAGTTCCCTGATCAGGTTGGTCTTTTACAAATAAGTTTCTAAACTCAGAATCTCAGGACGCTTTCGCTGGGATGATCAGAACTGCCGGTTTCGATGGGGTTCGGTATGAGAATCTAACGTTTGGAGTTTGTGCCATACATAAAGGAATCAAACCAAAATCTTCCAAGAAGACATAATAGAATAGCCTCTATAAGTAGATGTTAAATTTTATAAATTTTTTTTGAATGTTTGCCTTACTACCCACGTGATGGTCAACTACACCGTTTTCTACTTCTAAATTTCTGGCTGTTCGTTCAGTAAGACAGTTTTTAGGATGGCAGTTTCAAAATCTCGAATATCTCGTTCTTTTCTTAAAATGTTCTCCACTAGTAGTTCTCTAAGAGTCAGGTAAGGTTTTTCTGAGTTTTTTCTGTTCTCTCTATGACAGGCGAGTCAAGCTGAGATTCTCCAGTAGATTAGTATGACTTTGAAACAATTTACAGGTTTCCTTATAGTGCTAATGCTAACATAAAAGAGATTGGTTCCTTCACTGCCTATCCTCTCGAAAAATCGTTCGAGCCCGGACAGGTTTATTATAGTTGAACTTCAGTTGTTCATCTCTTAGTTTTAAGTTGTTCATTCACCGCACGTTCGCTTACAAAGGTGTTGTCGTATGTTCCTTTAACTGCCGTTTTCACGAAAAGAAGGAAGGGGGAACGTAAGAACGGATCTTCGAACTCAAACTGGGATTAATGTTTCAGAGAGAAAACAACAGTGACTAAAGATTACTACCAAGTACTTGTACATAGACCAGACTGGGCTTATATGATGTTCCCAGTCGATTTAACTTCATACCTTCAAGATGGAAGTAGCAAAGGAGAAAAACTTTTAGCAATGATCAAGTATTTCTGTTTTTGGATAGGTTTTTCCAACAATAGTTTCAGTGGCATGGATTGTGTTTCACATTCGGATATTATGCCTTTCAACACTGTTGAGAAGAACCCCATTGAGCATGACCTGTTCGACCGAATCTTCACTAAGCAAGACGCGTCAAACGGTATGCTGAATTTGTAGAAAATCCCAATAACTTTTCAGTTTTTGAAGGAGTACGAGTCTCTATGAGACCAGCTTTATTAGAGAACTATATGGCTTCCCAGCGTACATGGTTAGCACCACGAGATGTGTATAAAGAAATCACGGATGGAGTAGAGGTTACTGTCATGACATTCTATTTGGGTTCGAACTTCGTTGCTGGTCAACAAAGGCATACTTGGCGCTATGTAATCAGGTAAGTACTGAGTCGAATGATCTTATATAGCCTTTTCAGAATTGAGAACCATACTCCTCAGAACCCAGTGATACTCAGAGAAAGGTCTCTTAAAATTTATTCGCTAAATAATATGAACCAAGTGAATGGACATGGTGTGATCGGAAAAGTTTATCTCCATTTCCTGCAGCCAGAGAAATGCATTTTTTCAGCAACCTGAGCTAAATGTGAGGTCTCCTGCTTTCCAGTTTAGTAGTACTATAGAACTGCCTCACTCTAAAGGGGGACATATGTGGTATCGCAACAGCTTCGGGCAAAATATAATGCGAGATTTCAGGGGAACCTTCAAAATGGAACGGGAGAATGGATCTACCTTCAATGTAACTATTCCTACTGTGGTGTTAGAGTCTTTGGAAGAGAAACCAGTAGAAGTCATCGACTCTATGAGCGAATAACTTGTGCAATCGAAGCATAGCTTTATCTGGAAGAACATTGTTAGCGGGTTGTAGAATCATTATCATGTTGTTAGACTAGTTAAAATACAGTTTTAAAAGAACTGCACAGGAGTTCTGAACTTTAGATAAGCTACTCAATTATCAACTTGTAATTTCAAACTCTACGAGGGGGATACATGTGATAGTAGTCTTACGATCGAATCTTGTATTCTTGGATTTGAATGAGAGTTCTTAGATTATTCTGATATAAATATGAATATCCAATGTACTTTTTGAAATGATAAAGACGCATAAAACGGTTGTGTTGACTGATAATTCAAATAGATCGTGTATTCTTATACCCTGATTGATATTTAACGGAAAAAACAATGATTTCGGCCCAAGTAGTATAGTGGTTAGTACTCCACGTTGTGGCCGTGGCGACACAGGTTCGATTCCTGTCTTGGGCATCTCTTTTTGACTTTTTCTC